CAAAGCGTTGTGGAGGAAGGAGCAGCAACACGAAGCAAAGCAGCGCAACGCGCGGCAAATCAAATGCAGTGCAATTTGACGCGCAGTGCAATTCAAAGCGAAACCAGGTTGCAGCATGCCAGATCAAGGCAGATGAATCATATCAATACATGCAATGCGCTGAATGCGAAACATACTAATGCCGTAAGGCCAACAATACAGCGTATTAATGTGGTTGCTATGCGTCCGGATCGTAACTTGCTCCAGATAACGAGTCGTGCATCGAGCTTGTCCCCCGCTTGAGCGTCTGGTCCACTGGGAACTCCGAATTGGGGCGTCGTTGGGCTCGTCAGACGTGAGGCTTGCAGCAAGCGTCGCGTTGGAATCGGAAGTGTGGGGAATCACAAGGTCGGGCAGGCTGGCAGGAGGGGGTGTGGGGCGGGGAGGCGTCGCGGGCCGGGCTGGGGGAGTGTCGGGGGGGGTGCCCCGGCGGCTGGCCGAGATCCTGGAGGACAAGCGGAAGGCCGAGGAGCGAGGCGCCGCGGCCGAGACCTCCTCCGCGCAGCGGCGGGCTCCTTTTGCCCCCAGAGGGGGGGGAGGAGGAGGAGGAGGAGGAGGAGGAGGAGGAGGAGGAGGAGGAGGAGGAGGAGGAGGAGGAGGAGGAGGAGGAGGAGGAGGAGGAGGAGGAGGAGGAGGAGGAGGAGGAGGAGGAGGAGGCAGGCGGTGGAGGAAGGCGGGGGGGAGGACGCGGGAACGGGGGCCCAGAGAGGCAGGATCCGTCCAGGTCAGGCTTTGTCCAGGTCCCCCCGCACCTGCACGCCCGCTCAGGCGGAGCGTGGGCCCGCACAGTGTGGGGGTGCGTTCGGAGCGCTTCGGCCCGATGTGCAGTGGAAGTCGCACGACTGCCCATTCCCCAAGCAGTTCTTCCCCACGGGGTGTTCGTTCTGCGCGTGAGGGATTGGCCAGCGCGTTCCCTGGCACTTCTCCGTGGCGCTTCCCCTGGCACATACATGGCCCGTCATTTGGCGCGTCTCCTGACACGTTCCGTGGCGCACCCCATGGCACGTCCCTTGGTACGTTTCCTGGCGAGTTCCCCGGGTGAGCCTCCTGCCGCATCCCCTGGCGCGTCACCGTCCCTTGGCCACTGGCACGTCCCCTGGCGCGTTCCTCGGCGCGTCCTCCGACGCGCCCCTTACACGTTCCGTGGTGCGTCCCCTGGCACGTCCCCGGGCGCGCCCGCTGGCGCCTCTCGTGGGACGTCCCCTGGCATGTTCCCTGGCGCGTCCCCTCGCGCGCCCCCTGGCACGCCCCTCGCCACGTAATTACCGTGGCCAGCCCCTGACACGTCCACGGCAAGTCTCCCGAAAGGTCTCCTGTCAGGAGGGAGAAAAAACACAGACACAATTAATCCTCGATTCCCCAGAAAATATGTGAAAATATGGGAAGTGGGGGGGAAGACAGGAACCCAGAAAATATGGGAACATATGGGGAATCTTTTTATGTGTGTGTGTATTTATTTGTGTGTCCTGGGGCCCCTCCCTTCACCCTGAGGGGTCTCCTGGCACGTCACTTGGCACGCTTTCTGGCGAATCCCCTGGCGCGTCCACTCGGCGCGTCTCGGTTCGTCTCGCTTCGGAGCCGCCTCGGGATTTTGAGCTCCAGCAGATTGAGCACCCGGACGTTTCGTCGACTGCAACCAGCTCTGGCAGCTTGAGCTGAATATCCAGGTCAGTTCGGTCAGGATTCGGATGCCAAGGCCGGCCTTGTTCCACAGCGCAACGGGGTACAACAAAATTCAACATAGCATGAAACAACTTAGTTTAGCACAGTTCATCTCGGTACAGCAGCTCTGCGCGGCACAGCACTGCCCCCGGCACTGTACCATCGCCATCAGTATCGTGAGTATTTCACCACCCACCAGACGACCCCAACCCAACCCGAAGGCCTTAATTTGCCCTCCCTTTCCAGTGGGGGTGGGGTGGGGAACATTGAAAAAACACATGAAACCCGTACCCCCCCAACCCGAAATTCGGGTCAAATTCGGGTCTTCGGGTTGGGTTGGGGTGGTTTGGTAGGTAGTCAGTATTTCCATTGCTTATCGCCCAGTCGTTGTGAAGCTGATGAGCGGAAGCTGATGAGCGCATCAGCGGCATGCTGGGCGAAGTCTTTGGGACCGAACACATACCAAAGTTAACATCGAGCACCAACAAACGGATGTTACCATGTATGTTTGATGGGGACATTGTCGTCACACCTAGAATTGACATAGAAAATTGTACAGCTCGCGGTGCGACGTGCAACCAATATCTCTTCTGGCCAGCCTGGAACAAGGCTTCAGCATATTGCAGAGTTGAGGTCCAGAGAGCTCTGGAGCAGATCAAACGGAACCGGTGTGCAGATTGCCAAGGCACAGTAGGTGAGATGCTTGCTGCGGGCGGCGAGGCATTGCTCGACGTTTTGACGTGCTGAGGCCCGACGCGACGGCGCCAGCTACGTTGATCCACAAGTCCCGAGACGAACGTCTAGATGATAATGATAGGCCGACTACGATTGTCCCAATGTTGTATAAAGTATTGTCGAGTCTTCTATACTAAGGCGGTCGCCGATTCTGGATGCCAATCAAAGTTGTGACCATGCCTGCTTCCGAATCACGTTAAGCACCGAGTGCAATCTAGTCGTTTTTGCGCTGATAGCAAGCAGAGGAGCGCCAGATGCCGCTTTGGTGCGCCGCTGTGGACTTCCAGAAGGCGTTCGATTCTGTCGAACGCCAAGCTCTCTGGAACGCACTGGCAGAGCAGGACGTGCCCTTCCCGCGCAGCAGACTGCTCGCCAATATTTATCCCAGGCGAGGGGGGCAAGCGCGGACCGACGGCGCCGGCAGATGGTTCGAGATCACCAGGCGCACCAAGCAGGGGGACCCCTTGAGCTCGCTGATCTTCAGCGCCCTTTCCGAGGACATCGTGAGGGAAATGAAGGGGAAGTGGACAGCCCAGAAGTACGGAACCGAGTTGGGGTATACAAGTATGTCGAGGCTCATGAGTCTCAGGTTTGCAGTGTGTATAACAATGTCGGGACAGAGCTCGCAACACATCGGCCGCATGCTTGCTGATGTCTACGGCGCGGCAGCAGCGATCGGGCTCAAGTTACTTCGGGACAAGACGAAGATCTTCACAAACGCCACGAAGGGCATAGCGCACCCATATCACAGTCGAGGGCATGGACATCGAGATTTTGCGGGTGAGCGTTCCCATGAAGTATTTTGGCCACCAGATGACTACCTTTTCAAGATGCTGGCGGGACGGAAATCGATCACCGCATCAGGCAGGGCTGGAAGTCTTCAGTGGTGAACGAGGCGGAGCCAGAGTTTCTGCCTGAAGTCGAGGTTGCGTTTTTTAGAAGCAGCTGTTACATTCGCTGTCTACTATGGAGCTTCCAGTTGGGTTTTGACAGCTGAAATGGGGCAAGTGTCACAGTCGGCCCACGAATGCGATTTGATTCTGTGCGGCGACGAGAGACGCAGCAGAAAAATCTAACACAAGGAGGCCGCGAAGCACTGGACGAGAGAGAAAGCGATGAAAACACTCATGCTGATGATGTTCCTGCTGGCGGGGCCCTGGAGCCATGGGTAGATTGGATTAAGCGCGCTACCCATCACGTTGAAGCTCATATGAACAAGCTACATATAGATTGCTGGCGGGAGGCGGCGCGACACAAGGTCTGAAAATATGCTGCCGGGGTAGCAAATATGCCCAGTGACATATGGGCTGTGGAAGCTGCCAATAGGACTCCTGAATCTGAGCCCCGCGCCCAGGGGAGGCTGCCGGGGAGACCGCGAAAACGCTGGGCCGGCAATGTCTGGACTGCACAGGCCTGCAACGTAGAGCTTTGGACTAGCCTGGAGTATGGCTTCGGGTGCGAGTCCATCTGAGGCACTACGGTGCCATCCACCCAAGCCCCGCGCAGGGCGTTGCCCGAGATTGGGGTCTGTCTGTCTGTCTGTCTGTCTGTGTGTTCGTCCGTCCGTCCGTCCGTCCGTCCGTCCGTCCGTCCGTCTGTCTGTCTGTCTGTCTGTCTGTCTGTCAGTCTGTCTGTTTTGTTTGTCCAGTTGTCCTGAAACTTGTCTATGTCTCGCAGTTGCAGATCCTTGTCTCGGATCGTGGTCGACCAGGCTGTTCCCAACCATCCTGTGTTGACTTGGGCCTCGTTTTGGATCCGCATTTGCGGTGCCGCGCGTCTCCCGCCTCCCGCCCCCCCTCCCTTCCTTGCTTCTGCCCTCCGTATCGCCCTCCCCCTTTATGGAGCTCTCGTTTTGAACCCGTAGCCCCGCGCGTCTCACCTCGCTCCTGCCGCTCCTCCCCCTCCCGCCCGTCCTCCGCGATCCCCTCCCCTCCCATCCCTGCCTGTGCACTTCGCGTGTGCGTCTCGGCGCGCCCTCACGCGTTTCGTGGCCTCATGGGTAGCTCCACCGAAGGCCCCAGTGGCAACGCTCGCGAGCCGGCCCGCTCAATTTCTGCACACCCCTGACATGGTTCGTGGCCGCAGTGGAAGTTCCACCGAAGGGCTCGGGTCTCCCCCCCGCCCCCCGCCCCCTGGCTTCGCCCCCTGGCTTCGCCCCCGCAATGTCAGAGGCCAGCAACATATGTACACGTACGCGCTTAGTTTCCCCCGGAGTGCGTGTCAACGCGGACGTTCGTGCAGGCAAGACCGCGGAGAGCGTACATGTACATATGTCGTTGCTCGCCCACAATGCCACGTCTCAAATAACAATTGCGCTGATTGCCCTGCGCTCCATCCGTTTCGCGGCGCTTTGCTTATGGAAAGATGGACCTTGGACGTGTCATACGCTACTCGTAGTCTTCTCGCCCCCTCGTTCGTTTCATTTGCTTTGCGGTATTCGCAGCTGCATATGGTTGGGCTCGTCGCCTGGACTTTTTTTGTCTGCAGGTATTTGTTCTCTGGAAATAGGACTTCGCGTTTGGCGCTTCGCGCCTCTGCATGCCTGCGCTGTCGCCGCGGGGTCAATGGAAGGCGCCGGGGGAGGTGGGAGGGAGAGGTGGAAGGGAACTGACGAACGAATGGGGAACTGATAGTACAGTGGCGTTTTTTTATACATGCTCCGCGTGCGGATCATGTATGATGCAGGGAGTTAGTATTAAAACAACGATGAGATCATGAATACATTTGTTCATGAATTAATCATGTATTAAACAACATATAACATCCCATATTTAAGCAATCCTATGTATTAAGAACTGCCCTGTAGGGGAGGGGCAACGGGCGCCTGAACGGGATCGGAAACGCAGTGGAGGAGGAGAGGCACTCGAGGGCACGGCGGAAAAAGGCGAGGGAGGGGAGGGGGGCACGACGGGGAGGAAATCGAGCGAATCGGTGCGCTGGAGGAGGAGGAGGAGGTGGAGGAGGAGGAGGAATATGAGGGGGAGGAGGAGGGGGAAGAGAAGGATGATGATGATGATGATGATGATGATGATGATGATGATGATGATGATGATGATGATGATGATGATGATGATGATGGTGATGCTGATGCTGCTGATGATGATGATGATGATGCCGCTGATGCTGATGCTGATGCTGATGCTGATGCTGATGATGAGGATGAGGAGGAGGAGGAGGAGGAGGAGGAGGAGGAGAAGGAGGAGGGGGCTACGCAGCGACAGACCCAAGCCCGAACTTGACTTGTCTAGCACCCCCGGTGAGGACAGTGTGGAGGAGGAGGAGGAAGAAGAGGAGGTGGAGGCGGAGAGTAGAGAGGAGGCGGTGGATGATGAGGCACTGTAGTGCGACAGCTGTGTTTCTGGCACTCAACGTAATCTGACCTCCCCCAATGCTTTACGATGCCTGGATGCACTGACCTTACATGCATGAGTCGTACTTGCGCTCGGTCTTTTAGAGCAAGACGCCTCCCCGCCCTCTTCCCCTTCATCTCGTTCTCCCCCTCTTTCCTCCTCCGTGGTACCCATCAGAGCATCAACCACTTGTTTCGGCCCGACGATGTTTGCCAGTCAATCGCGCGATGGAGGTGGCCATGGAGGAGTGAGGATCAAGGTCTGGGAAGGGAGGGTCAAGACCCTCGGAGAGGGCATGGTCCAGCCACCAGCCGTCAGCCACTCGCAGCTCCAGAATTTCCCGCAAGACCCTCGGTGAGGAGGAGGAGGAGGAGGAGGAGGAGGAGGAGTAGGAGTAGGAGTAGGTGTCAAGCTAGCCAGCTCGAGCGAGTCAAGCATGGCATGCCCAGTCCCACCCGCCCTCCCACAACATAAGAAGCAAAGCTGGCACAACTGGGGGCCGAAGTCACACCGGCCAGCCGGTTTGGTACAGCTGATGCGGCCGCGATGGCGGTTGCCGACGGGAACTGGCGAGCGCGTGTTGAATGCCGCGCACGCATTGCCAGACGAGTCGAGAATGGCCCGGTACACCGCAGGAAGCCAGAGGTGGCCGGAGGAAGCCCGACGGTCTGACAGGACACCCCAAAGCATTTTTGTGAAAAAGCATTGGGTTTTTGATGTTTTTATGTTGAAATGCTTGCAAACACACGGTGTTCGGTAGGATTCTGACATGAACGCGCGAGTGTGCTCTTTGTGGTATTTTTTGCACAGGATTCGCGGCCTGGGTGCATGACAGAGCATCGCGAGTGCACCGCGCGATGACGTGAAATCGCTGGATTTGACCGAATTCTTAAGATTCCTATGGTTTTCCTATGATTTCAGCAAGAGAGCCCGGGCGGGAAATTTGTACAATTTTTGTGAAAAAGCATTGGGTTTTTGATGTTTTTAGGTTGAAATGCTTGCAAACACACGGTGTTCGGTAGGATTCTGACATGAACGCGTGCGTGTGCTCTTTGTGGTATTTTTGCAATGGATTATCGCCGTGGACGACAGGACGTCCATGTCGAGAGGAAAAAATAAGAAACATGTTGATTTGGAATTGTTTTTTACAGGTTAGGATGGGACCCCCCGGATGCGGCCCTTAATGGCCGGCCTGAGGGGGGAGTAGGAGTATATTCTAATAAGAAATAAGGATAGGAGTAGGAGTAGGAACCGATGGCGATGCCAATCCCGACCGATACTACCCCCGACCTAGCTGGGCCAATTCGGCCTTGCTGAGGGCCTTCGGGGGTAGCCCATCATTAATTCTCTTGAGATATAGACGTCCCGTGGGGGTGGGGATGCCCGTGCAGGGCTTGGCTAAGGCTCGCAGCTGCTTGTCAGCCGTGGCCCCACACCCACACCTCCCACATAACCAATACTTTGATACAACATGCACGTTAAGATGGTGTGAAGTGTGCAGCCAGCCCCCCCCCGACATGAATCCGCCCTCCAACTGGAGGGGGTGAGATGAGACCATTCACATTCGCTAAAACAAGGCACGCGGCGGTATGCCATTCTTTCATGATGGCCACGGTCGCAGAGCCACTGCATCTCGTGCACCTCTTTTTGCAGTCGGGCAGCACATGCCTCGACATCAGGGCCGCGACTGACGCAGCGGCTGGTGGGGGTGGAGGAGGGGGAGGCAGCACACCACGTCTCCTTTTTTCCGTCGGACTGCTTTGCCAGCTCTTTCTCCTTGGCCAGGCAGTCGACTGCCGCCCGCAAGAGTCTGAGGCGCACCAAACGTGCACGCCGCTCGTGCGGCAGGAGACGATGCCCCCCCCCGTGTGAGCTGCCAGGCCTCGGTGGCCGGAGGCGGGCCCGCCTCCGTCCCTTGGCATCGCTCGGGCGTGTGCACTTTTTCCCTCGGCGAGGGCCATCGAGGAGCATCCTGGATGATTCGGCGAAAATGCCACGCACGAAGCCGAAAGAGACACAGGGAGTGGACGTCCGAGCGATGCCCAGGTCCAGGGTGCAGGGAGGAGCCCCCGCGGCCAGAACGCCTCGGCTGTGCCGCACTGGGCGGCCGCCTGCGGTGCAGAGATCGGCCGGGTCGTCGCAGGGTGTGGCTCCGGTGATGCACGCGCACCGCCAGCATCTGTGGAGCGGGGTCTCCAAGTCCCCAGACCTCCTCGAGTCATGAAAAAATCACGACGGGAGGTTTTTCACTATTTTCGGCCTCTGGGGGCCCTTACCGGCCCTCGGGACCGTCAAAAAACGACTCGGGACGAAAAACCGGTCCCAGGGAATTGGTCCAGACCGCTGGGGGTCGACGTCATGAAAAATTCATGACGTCGGGTTTGGGGAGCGGGGTCTCCAAGTCTGGCGCACCTGTCGCACTTGTCCGAGCCCTGGGAGTTCTTGAGCTCCTGCACTTTGCGTTGCTTATTCCAGATGCTACCTGCAGCCACCACGGCCATGATCTCACAGAATCTCTTGCCATTCGGTATCTGGGCCATGTGCTTGAGCAGCTGGATGTACGATGTGTTGTCCACTCCCATCTCCAGGCCGCCTCCGCAGAAGTGCTTAGCGGCTTGAGTCCAGAGCTGGGACTCACATGCCGCGCGCATGTCTGCCAGGAGGTCGTCATGTCGGTCAATCTGTGGATTGCCGGTGTAGATGGTGTCTGGAAAGTGCCACCCCTCATTGCTGTCAGGACCTGTCGGGTATGACCACGTCGATGGATCCTGGGGGTGCCGTCCCAGGCGCAACAGCGAGTGCATGATGGCACCAGTGGGTCCCTTGATGAGCCGTACCTGTGCTGGTACAGGGATGGCCTGCATCTGCTGTAGGATGATCGGCCACGCTCGTCGTACCCCAGCTCGTATCTCGGGTCGGTCGCGCCATGTCTTGAGCCACGTGTCCACTGTCTGTATAGGGTAGAGCGCAGCGGGGTCGGCCCCTGGGGCCCGAAGGGCAAGCACAGTAGTGAGGCACCGCCCCGTCGCCGTCGAGGCGCAGGCTTGCGCTAGGCGGCGGCACCTCGTGAGTTGCTCGCCGAAGAGCCCGTGGACCTGGTGCCCATAGAGGCCTGCTGGGAGGCCCCCTTGTCGCTGGAGCTTGGACATTGCTCCACATTGGCGCGTGGCCCTAGTGAATCTGCTGCGTATTTTAGAACTCATGGGACGATGCTTCATCTCACGTTGGACTCTAGTTCTGCGTACTCTCCTGCCACAGCCGAAGTCGATGCCGAGGTATGTGGCATGTGCGACAGGGCGTACCGCGAAACCAGCTCGGTGGACGAGTCGGGCAACAGCACGCGCGTCACTCGTCAAGCTACGCACAACAACAGACTTGTCCGCAACTGTGAGCTTCCGTTTCTGCAGCTCCTGGCACGTAGCGATGATGCCATTGGCGAGCCCCATGCGGTCGGCCTTGCTCGATCCCTTGACCGTCTCCCACACATCGTCCACCCAGGGCCTCGCCCCCTATCCTGGGATGGGCAGTCGTAACCGTGATCGTGGCATGGTGCGTCATCATCTTGGCGAAACGGGTCCCCGAACGGAGCCCCTGCACGACACTGGGGAGCGGGTCAAAAGGCTCGGAAACTGCCTTGTCCTGCTCTGAGCACCTCGGGGCTGCGCACTGCAGCAGCTCACGATACAACACGACTGGAGGAAAGTGCAGCCGCAAACGCGGCCGACGCGATGCCGTCCCACGGGATGCTGTCGTAGAGCGTGGCAAAGTCGAGCATCCCGCGGCCGCACTTCCAGCCCAGGGTGAAGGCCAGCTCCTCGCCCAGCGCCCGCAGGAATGCTTCCTGCAGGCGTGAGTTTTGCCTGGCATGGCCGCGTCCCAATGTCGGGCGCCGTCGGCCGACCACGACTGTACAGTAGGGGTCCTGAAGAAGGAACCCTTTTCGTTGGGGAGGGGCTCCGTGTTCCTTGATAGTTTCACAGCTTCCCTCAGGTTTTCCCAAGGTTTTTTCGATGGGGAATCGAAGTTTAACTTATAGGAAAGGAGGGGCCTCGTTCCTTATTTAAGGTTCCTTAGGTCAACGCCCCGACTGTACATGGGGTTCTCGCAAGAGTGAACAGAGCCGGCCGAGCATCGACACGAGGCTGATGGCACGATCTCCCGCCGTCCTCGTGGGGGTGAGCTTCCCCATGTGACGGCGAGCGTCTGCGCTGGCCGCGACAGGGTGTGCTCGACCGCCTCCGGGATGAGGAGCAGCTCCGCCCGGCCCTCGGCTGGGGGCCTCTGGTAGTCCACGGGCGTGACCATGTCGATGCCCATGCCTGCCTTCGCCTTCATGCGTGATGCCGCTCTGGAGATTTCGGCCACCCCCATCTGCGGGAGCGGTTCGTCCATCGCTCTGCCACGGATACTTCTGAACAGCTCTCGAACGTCCTGCATCTTGGGGGCCGTGGGGGCCCACAGCTGCTGGTATTTCTTCGCCTTTGCGTTAATGATGTCCTTCGGGTGGTAGATCAGCTGCTGGCCCGCAACAATCTCCACTGGGGGAAGTGGTCCTTCCTTCAGCGGTTTGTGCAGTATGCCGTTGGCCTCGGGCTCCACCACCCTCGCGCGGAAGTCGTTGATGGCCGACAAGACTGCAAGCCTCTGGGCACGTTGCATGATCTTCTTCGCTGCGTGGGCGAATGACTCCACGACCGCTTGGTGGAACTGACACTGGCTCTCAAGGATGCGGAGCCACTCGCTCCATGGGGGGTCACGACCTTCTCTCAGCACCGTGTGGGCACCGTCTGGTCTGTCCCCCTGCTGCCTTCTTCGCCGCGATCTGGTACTGCTCTAGCTGGCGCTGCCCGTTGTCTCTCTGGCGGTGCCTGCTGGCCCCTGCAACGATAGTGTGCACTTGGGTCCACCACTGAGCGTGCTGGTCTCGCAGGTGGACTCGTCGCTTGTGGGCTGCCTGTCTGACTGGGCCCTCCTCAAATCGTGCGCCCTGCGCTCGCCGAGCTCGAGGGAGGGCCACTCCATGGTGTCGAGTGATGCTGAGCTCGACTGTGGAAATCCAGGCAGCATACATACCCGAAACAAGGAGAGTGTGTGAGGCTTCGAGCCTAGATGCTACGGAGCCGAGCAGCGAGGGGGAGAGGACATGGGCGCAGCCCTGTCCCGAGGCAAATCCAATCTCCTGTCGGCTCTCAACCCGCAGTTTGCTGGGGATAGCAAGCGTGGGCGGCGACGGCGGCTCACCTCCGGGGGCCTGTGACGGACTGGGCCCAGGGCCTGTCTCCTGGGTAGGCTGCCGCTCAGATTCACCATTCTAAACGCTGTCTTTATTTTCTTTTTTTTTGGGGGGGGGGGAGGGGGGGGGGGCTGGCTCGAATTGGAAGGGGTGCTGCGCTGCTCGGGCGCCTGGCCTGATGCCGGTTGCATCTCCCGGGCGCTGGCGCTCGCGCGCCCACCTCCGAGCTTCGGTCGTGGAGGGCAGGTTTGACGGGGGGAGAGGGCGCTGCTCAACGCCCCGCCATCCCAGAAATTGAGTTGGCCCGCCCACGGGTCGTCCTCTTCGCCGGGCCAACAATCTCGAGAGATTCATCGACCTCATCGGGAGGAGCCTGACCTACACCCTCCACCGACGGCGGGACCCCAGGGCTTTGAAAGCAATCCCCAAACATGGCGTGAAACGTAGACCTGCGAGCCTCCAGAGCCTCTTGCTGGGCAACAGCCTGGTGGGCCCGAGACAAACTTGACTTGGGGCCAGACGTGGGCTCGTTGCGTGGCCCGGGGGCTCGAGGGAGCCTCGGGGGGGGCCGCGAGAGAGCGGGTGAGAAGCTGGAGGCCAGAGCTGCGGAATTCCAGAGCAAAAGGCCTTGGCGGGGCTTCCACGGGACAGACCTCACAGCGCTGATAGTTTTCAGGAGCGGCATGGCCTCGGGGCTGCACGCGCAACGCAGTCGAGCACTCCGTCGCGCCCCTGAGTGTTGGCGCACGTGCCCTCTCTGCCTGCCGTGCGCATGATATCATGCAGCTGCTGAACAAAACGTGAGGCCTGCAAAGTGTCGGGCTCCATATGGAAATCTCCAACTATGGGCCGCGGAAGTCTCACCGCCTGGAGCAAACCCCCGAGGCGGTGAAGCCTGACCGTGTTGTGGCCAGTCATCATGATGCCGGGCAGTGCATGCAGTGCAGCCACGATGATTGAGTAGCGTGCCATGTGTAGCACCATGGGGTAGGAAACCGTCGAGGCCGACCTGGCCTGCCTCGCGGAGGTGCCCAGCAGCAACCCGCGCCTCTGGCAAGACGTGCGCCTGGAGGTGCTGCTGGGCCAGGAAGAACTCGCCACCCTCGTTCGCCATCTCCTCGTACCCAGCTGCCACTGGTCTGGCTGAGGGTCGGGCTGCGTTACTATGAAGTCGAAGGTGAGCGTCCCTCGCCTTCTTGTCCCATTCCCTGAGCTCGGACTCGTCGTGTTTATGAGTCTCAGCCCAGGCCCAATAATCGTACTTGCAATAATTTAATTGGATGTATTGCCACACCTTGGTGATGAAGGCCGTGACACTAGCGTGGAACAATGTCGTAGTGCCCTCGGTGTGGTGGTGGTGTCCTACTGAGAGTCAAGAGGCGGCTGCCGCCTTCTCCTCGCCAACGTCCCTGCCCTTTCCCATGGACTTGGACCTGGCCTGGCCGCCGCCTCCTCTGCCTTGGCTACGACCTTCGCCGCCGACAACTTCTTGGCCTCTTCTTGGATGACCTCTGGAGTGTCCTGCTGCTTCGCGGGTGCCTTGGCCGTGGGGTCGCCGGGCATCTGGGCGTCGGCGGCGCCCTGGGCGGGGCTGGCCTCCCTCTGGGTGTTGTTGCCGTCGGTGGCCGCCGCCTCGCCGTTAGAGCCCTCCCGCTTCTTAGTGGTGCGCTCCGAGATATCCTTCTGCATCTGTTTGGCCCTGTCGAGCCACGTCTTGATCTCCGCCTCCTTGCCGCTGAGGTCGTTCTTGACACCCTTGAGCTGGTCGTGCAGGGTCTTGAGCGCCTCGCGCTCCTCTGCCGTGCACTCCATGTCGTCGAGGGAGCTGAAGAACGACTCGTCCCACTCGATGGTGAACATGGCCGCGTCTGCGGCGGTAGGCGGTAGCGGACCCGCGCCCTCGGCTCTGGCGACTGCCTGGGCCGCCGCCTTCTTGGCCGCTGCCGCCTGCGCCAGGGCCACGGCAGCGCGTTCCTCCTTGGCCTCCGCGGCCTGGAGGTTCTGCCTCAGGCGGAGCACGTTGTCCACGCACTGGCTGCGGTGGTGCTCGGCTCCCTTCCACGCCCCGTCGGCCTTGCGCAAGGCCTCCGCGGGCGAGGTGGTCGCCTCGGAGTCGGCCTTGGCCCGTGCGGTGATCTTCTCGATCTGTTGCTTGAGCGCCTCCTGCAGCGCTGCGTCCTCGGTCGCCTGAGCCGCCAGCTCGAGCAGCTCGGTGACGGAGGAACGCTTGTCAGTGGCGTCGTGCCCTTGGCCCCCCCCGTGCCCGCGCGAGCCTCTCGGTGAGTGGCTACGCTGGCGGCCTCTCGGGCCCTCGGGGGGGGTTAGGGGCCGCCTCTGCCGACTGGACTGCATCCTCCCGGTGCACCCTGCGCACTGGTGGCCTGTGCAACGCGACGCGTGTGCCGCACGCTGAGCACCTTCCGCCCTGCCTGACTATGATCGTGTTCCACTCGCAGCGGCCGCAATGCCCGCACTTCGACCACAGCTGCGTCATGGCTGCTGGAGGCTGGACTGACTGGGTGCTACACAGAAGCCGGAGACAAACCTCGGTGTTGGTCGCAGGCCTCGGGCTGTGGCTTGGCCCTTGGTCTGGGTCCCTCAAGCGCTGCGAGGAAGCCCCGAGGATTGGGCGCGTGGGTCGGGGGCAGTCGGGGCCTCCTCAAACCTGCTTGCGCCCAAATTGCTTGAGGGAGGAGGAGGAGGAGGAGGAGGAGGAGGAGGAGGAGGAAGGAGGGATGAAGGAGGAGGAGGAGGAGGAGGATGAGGAGGAGGAAGAGGAAGAGGAGGAGGAGGAGGACGAAGAGCTAGAGTAGGTTGAGCATGAGGTGGCGAAGGAGGAAACCTAGGACGATAGCTGGCGCGCCCCAGTGGCCAGGGGGGTTCGTCAGGCCAGATATGCGCTCACTGCCAGGATGGTGTTGGATCGCTCAGGGAAGCTGCTGATTAGAGCCTTGCAGTCCTAGTTCGGTGTGCTGGTCAACTCTCACCTGCCTGGTGCTGGGACACCAGTTGGAGGGAAAGTTATGAGCTTGGATGGGGGTTTGGGGATCATGAGCTGCTCGCGCACGTGGCACACCAGTGCGACAACCTACGAATTTCATGCCGTGCTTCTTGGACCGCGAGTTGTAGTAATCCTTCGGGCAACTCTTGTTTAGCGTGCTGCCGTGCCTGCGCTGTGCGCTTTCCCTCGGTGAGGGCTTCAACCTTAGGGCCACGCTTCGATTGGATCGTCAGGAGGTGACGGCTTCAGAGACGAACCGCGCGGCCACTTTATCGTGTAGACGTTTCGCCCATTCGTGCTTGACCATCGATGAGGGTACTGTGTATTCTTTATCTTCGGTACTCTTTCAGTCCGCAGCGCTGGCACTCCAGCTCGACGGGCGTCGTTATATTGGCCCAAATCGAGCTCAGGGCATTGTAAGTGCACTGTCGGCCCTCAGTGAGGGTACACATGCTCGTTGGGAGGGTCGAAGAGGGCATGCATTGAGGTGATGGGGGAGGGAGGATGGTCATCCTTTCCACATCCAGGCGCTGCAGCATACTCTTGAATTTCAGTTGCTCCCAACTGTCTCGCTTCTCCAGGTTTCCCGCAGACGCGCGCTGCTGCAGTGCCAGGGCCGGGCGTTCGTCCTATCGCCCTCCTCGCCGTGCCTGTCTGCATTAGGGCCCCCCGGACGCTGCGAGCCCCGAGCTTGAATCCCGAGCAGCGCAAGGAGGAGGAGGAGGAGGGGGAGGGGGAGGGGGAGCAGGAGGAGGAGGAGGAGGAGAGGAGGAGGAGGAGGAGGAGGAGGAGGAGGAGGAGAGGAGAGGAGGAGGGGGAGGCGGAGAGGGAGGAGGAGGAGGAGGAGGAAGGAGCTTGAGCCCGAGCTTGAAGCCCGAGCTTGAAGCCCGAGCCGCGCGGGGGGCAGCGAGGGGGGCAGCGAGCGGCAGCCCGGGGGGCGGCGAGGGGGCGGGCGGGCCCCCGCCGCCGGCAGGCGCCAG